CCCCCCCCCCCCCTCCCCCCCTCCTTGTCCCGCTGCTTCCTTGTGTCCGTCTGTCCCCCCGCATCCGTGTGTCCCTGCCTGTCCCGCTGCATCCTTGTGTCCGTCTGTCCCTCCGCATCCGTGTGTCCCTGCCTGTCCCGCTGCATCCTTGTGTCCGCCTGTCCCTCTGCATCTGTGTGTCCCTGCCTGTCCCGCTGCATCTGTGTGTCCCTGTCTGTCCCTCTGCATCTGTGTGTCCCTGTCTGTCCCTCTGCATCTGTGTGTCCCTGTCTGTCCCTCTGCATCCTCGTGTCCATCTGTCCCTCTGCATCCTTGTCTGTCCGTCCCTGTGCATCCTGGCCTGTCTGTCTGTCCGTCCATCCCTATACGTTTATGTCTATATGCCTGTCCATCTGTCTGTGCGCATCCCTCCATCCCGGCGCACCCACCCATGTCCGTCCATCCACCCACCCATGTCCGTCCATCCGCCCACCCGCGTCTGTCGGTCCATCCACCCACCCGTGTCTGTCTGTCTGTCCGGCAGGGAGCGGCTGCGGGCAGAGGAGGCGCTGGTGGGGGAGCAGCAGCGGGCGGGCGCCCTGCAGCAGGAGCGGGCGCGCCGGGGGGGACACGGGTGGGTCCTGCCGCCCCCCCTCCCGGGTGCTGCACAACAGTGGGTGCTGCAAAATCCCAGTGGGTCCCCTGCAACCTCCCCCCAAATCTGGGTGCTGCCACCTTGCCCCCCTCAATGGGGTGCTGCAGCCCCACCAAGTGGGTGCTGCAAAATCTCAGGGGGTCCCCTGAAGCCCCCCAAGGTGGGTGCTGCCACCTTGCCCCCCCCTCGATGTGGGTGCTGCCACCCCCAAGTGGGTGCTGCAATCCCCCCACTCCCAACGGGTGCTGCAAAATAGTGGGTGCTGCCACCCCTGCCCCGAGTGGGTGCTGCAACCCCCTCTTCCCCGCGGGTGCCCCCACGGGTGCGGGCAGCCAGCAGCAGGTGGAGGAGCTGGAGGCGCAGCGGGCTGGGGCGCAGCGGGAGCTGCTGGAGGCGCGGGGCAAGGTGGGTGCCCCGATCCCCCCTCGTGCTCCCCTGCAGCGGGTGCACCCCTCCTGCAGCAGGTGCACCCCATATGCGGTGGGGGCTCCCGTGCAGGCATGACACCCATGAAGCAGGTGCAACCCTATGCACTGGGTGTACCCCCCATGCAGCGGGTGCAACCCCATGCAGCGGGTGCAACCTCTCCCATGAAGCAGGTGCACCCCTATGCAGGGTGTGCAACCCCACCATGTGCAGCAGGTGCAAACCCTCCATGCATCAGGCTTAGCCCCCTCTGCATCGGGTGCAACCTCTCCCATGCAGCGGGTGCAACCCCTAAGCAACAGGCGCAGCCCATGCAGCGAGGGCAATCCCATGCAGCAGGTGCAACCCCCCATGTGCAGTGAGTGCAAGCCCCATGCAGTGGGTGCAACCCCGTGCAGTGGGTGCAACCCCTAAGCAACAGGCACAGCGGGTGCCACCCCCAAGCAGCGGGTGCACCCCATGCAGCAGGTGCAACCCCCCATATGCAGTGAGTGCAAGCCCCATGCAGCGCGTGCAACCCTGTGCAGTGGGTGCAACCCCTAAGCAACAGGCGCAGCCTGTGCAGTGGGTGCAACCCCCCATATGCAGCAGGTGCCACCCCCAAGCAGCGGGTGCACCCCATGCAGCAGGGGCAACGCCCACGCGCTGGCTGTCCCCATGCGTCGGGCGCTGCAGCAGCGCAGGCATGGCGCGGAGTCC